TGGACCTCTAGCACTGCACTACGTGTTAATAGGCAGCATTTGAATAAATGAATAGTCAATACACTTACATGTATAACACACAGATGCACACAATCATGTTGATGCGGCTGATCGGCAAGTTTGACATTGGACTCATTATTTGAATTTTTAAACTATATTCTTTCTAACATCGGAAAGTTGAAAAATTGTATTTTACTGCCATTTAGGTGTCATCAATCGTCACTATAGTACCGAATTTTGAGTGAAATCAGTTGAGTTATGTAAGGGCTGTCAAGTTTGGGGAACTGCTTCGAGGGAGGTCGTATGCAAATTTTTGTTTTGCTCAACGGCAGTGGCGTACGCATGATTTTTTCAAGGGGGTGTTTTAAAATTTGAAAATCGCGTCAAAAATTTTGCAGCGACTAAGCCAGCCGCTGAATAAGCAGGGGGGGGGGGGTGGTTAAAGGAAACATTTGTTTTGGGTCCCGTTTATTTGACGAAAAATTGGTTACCATGTTTGGCGGGAGGTTTTTTCATAAACCGGGAGATTCTACATCGAAGCGGGAGAGCGGGACTCGGGAGGAAAGGCGTGCTGGCGGGAGTCTCCCGCTACGAGCTATTTGGCCGGCAGGAGAATGAGCATGGTGGCGTGAGACTCCCTTCAGGCTCCAAAAGCGGGAGGGTTTTTGTACAGTGCCAGTGGTGTTTGAATTGTTGAGAACCACAGTTGGGATGGTAATGCACCTTTGTGTGCATGTGCTCTATCCCTACCACACCATATTACCATACTATTACTACACCACTAATAAAAACTAAATAATGGGCAACATGTATGGCACAGTTATTCGCGCATCCGCCACGCCCCTGCTCTGGTATTGGTGATTGCACACATGAGGACGCGGACGTGCGTTCCTCCGAGACTTGGCCATAGATCTAGACCCTACATATAAAGTTGCATATGGGACTGTGGCAAATTTCAATGTTGATTAATTGACAATAAAATCCAATCTTAGAAAACAAAATAACACACATAAAACACATGAAAGCATTATATACGAGACGAGAATTCGTTGAAGGAAAATGAAATAAAATATATCATCCCATATTTACCACCGCTTAAAATTGGCGCTGGACTCTCTGTTGTCAGGTTGTTAGGGAACGCTAAATCACATCGATAAACAAACAATGCCCAGTTCGTTGGTCTATTCATATTTTTACGAATAAGTGCATGGCGCATTGCCAATTTTTTTGCGTGTAAAGCTAAGGTACATTTTTTAAAGGTTGAAATTTTTGTTTTTATTTCTTAAAGGTCCCCACCTGGTGCATGGACAAAATACAATTAAAGCTATATTAGTACAAAGATATTCAACTGCACCACCTCCAGTCAAAACTCTTCGTCGGAGTATTTAGGAGGAAAAGAATCCAGATCCAAGAACTAATGAGACTTTCCTCTTTTTGTATTTAAGTGCATATGCCCCTTTTCAATGCACCTCTGATGAGTGCCCTATTTCGGGTGCGAGAAGTGCCTCTTTTCACCTCTGACATATTTTTGTCAATTTATAATTGATATGTGCCCCTTTTCCTTTCTAATAGGTGTCTTTTCCCGGGCTTTTCCCCTTCTGATAAGTGCCCCTTTTTTCGTTTCCCATACTGGTGTCCCTTCCTAGAGCTTTTTGTCGATGCCCCCTTTTCACCTCGATGTAGGCGCATCTTTTACTTTGGCAAGTACCCCATTTCATTTCTGATAAGCATCTTTCCCCTTCTTATAAGTGCCGTTTGATCCCTTCTATAGTGCCCATTTTCAGCGGACACTTTTTTTTTGGGGGGGGGGGGGAGCCAAAAAAAAATCGCAACGACTCAGCCAGCCGAAAAGTCGCTCAGTGGGGGGTGGGGGGGGGGGGGGGGGGGGGGGGGGGGGAGGACACTTTTTTTTTTTTTAATGTCTCAAAATTTGAAAAATTGACATTTTGCTCCGTTGGGGGGGGGGGGGGGTAAGGTCACCTTTCATAGGTCAGCCATGGGGGTTATTTTTTTTTTTTTTTTTTTTTTTTAAATAATTAAAAAAAAACTAAAAAAAAACACCAAAGGGGGGGGGGGGGTTTAGGGATTTTTTAGGGGGGTTTACACACATAAAAATACCAAAGGGGGGGGGGGAGGAGGGTTTAACCCCCCAAACACCCCCCACCCCCCTGCGTACGCGCCTGAATATAGAATCCGAGTGAAATAGAATAGATAGAGATAGACCTAGAGAGATAGAACCAGAGGATATAATATATATAGACCTAACAAGATAGAATCAGAGTGAAATAGTATAGATCGAGATAGACCTAGAGAGATAGAACCAGAGGAGATAATATATTAGACCTAACAAGATAGAATCAGAGTGAAATAGAATTGATAGAGATAGACCTACAGAGATAGACTCAGAGAGAGAGAAATATATATATAGACCTAAAAAGATAGAATCAGAGTGAAATAGATAGAGATAGACCTAGAGAGAGAGAGGAATATATATAGACCTAAATAGATAGAATCAGAGTGAAATAGAATTGATAGAGATAGACCTAGAGAGATAGACTAAGAGAGAGAAATATAGACCTAAACAGATAGAATCAGAGTGAAATAGATAAAGATAGACCTAGAGAGATAGCATCAGAGAGAGAGAGAAATATATATATATAGACCTAAAAAGATAGAATCAGAGTGAAATAGAATAGATAGAGATAGACCTAAAGAGATAGAACCAGAGGATATATATGTAGACCTAACAAGATAGAATCAGAGTGAAATAGATAGAGATAGACCTAGAGAGATAGACTCAGAGAGAGAGAAATATATATATATATATATATATACCTAAAAAGATAGAATCAGAGTGAAATAGATAGAGATAGACCTAGAGAGGTAAAACCAGAGGATCTAGACCTAATAAGATAAAATCAGAGTGAAATAGAATTGATAGAAATAGACCTACAGAGATAGACTCAGAGAGAGAGAAATATATATATATATATAGACCTAAAAAGATAGAATCTGAGTGAAATAGATAGAGATAGACCTAGAGAGAAATAGATATAGACCTAAAAAGATAGAATCAGAGTGAAATAGAATTGATAGAGATAGACCTAGAGAGATAGACTACGAGAGAGAAATATAGACCTAAACAGATAGAATCAGAGTGAAATAGATAAAGATAGACCTAGAGAGATAGCATCAGAGAGAAATATATATATATATATATATATATATATATATATATATATATATATAGACCTAAAAAGATAGAATCAGAGTGAAATAGATAGAGATAGACCTAGAGAGATAAAACCAGAGGATATAGACCTAACAAGATAGAATCAGAGTGAAATATAGACCTAAACAGATAGAATCAGAGTGAAATAGATAAAGATAGACCTAGAGAGATAGCATCAGAGAGAGAGAGAAATATATATATATATAGACCTAAAAAGATAGAATCAGAGTGAAATAGAATAGATAGAGATAGACCTAAAGAGATAGAACCAGAGGATATATATGTAGACCTAACAAGATAGAATCAGAGTGAAATAGATAGAGATAGACCTAGAGAGATAGACTCAGAGAGAGAGAAATATATATATATATATACCTAAAAAGATAGAATCAGAGTGAAATAGATAGAGATAGACCTAGAGAGGTAAAACCAGAGGATCTAGACCTAATAAGATAAAATCAGAGTGAAATAGAATTGATAGAAATAGACCTACAGAGATAGACTCAGAGAGAGAGAAATATATATATATATATATATATATATATATATAGACCTAAAAAGATAGAATCTGAGTGAAATAGATAGAGATAGACCTAGAGAGAAATATATATAGACCTAAAAAGATAGAATCAGAGTGAAATAGAATTGATAGAGATAGACCTAGAGAGATAGACTACGAGAGAGAAATATAGACCTAAACAGATAGAATCAGAGTGAAATAGATAAAGATAGACCTAGAGAGATAGCATCAGAGAGAAATATATATATATATATATATATATATATATATATATATATAGACCTAAAAAGATAGAATCAGAGTGAAATAGATAGAGATAGACCTAGAGAGATAAAACCAGAGGATATAGACCTAACAAGATAGAATCAGAGTGAAATAGATAAAGATAGACCTAGAGAGATAGCATCAGAGAGAGAGAGAAATATATATATATAGACCTAAAAAGATAGAATCAGAGTGAAATAGAATAGATAGAGATAGACCTAAAGAGATAGAACCAGAGGATATATATGTAGACCTAACAAGATAGAATCAGAGTGAAATAGATAGAGATAGACCTAGAGAGATAGACTCAGAGAGAGAGAATACCTAAAAAGATAGAATCAGAGTGAAATAGATAGAGATAGACCTAGAGAGGTAAAACCAGAGGATCTAGACCTAATAAGATAAAATCAGAGTGAAATAGAATTGATAGAAATAGACCTACAGAGATAGACTCAGAGAGAGAGAAATATATATATATATATATATATATATAGACCTAAAAAGATAGAATCTGAGTGAAATAGATAGAGATAGACCTAGAGAGAAATATATATAGACCTAAAAAGATAGAATCAGAGTGAAATAGAATTGATAGAGATAGACCTAGAGAGATAGACTACGAGAGAGAAATATAGACCTAAACAGATAGAATCAGAGTGAAATAGATAAAGATAGACCTAGAGAGATAGCATCAGAGAGAAATATATATATATATATATATATATATATATACCTAAAAAGATAGAATCAGAGTGAAATAGATAGAGATAGACCTAGAGAGATAAAACCAGAGGATATAGACCTAACAAGATAGAATCAGAGTGAAATAGAATTGATAGAAATAGACCTAGAGAGATAGACTCAGAGAGAGAGAACAATGTCTCTCTCATGCAAAATTAGGAGGGATGTACATGTAATGCAAAAAATAACAAGCATCAAAATTTTGTTAGCACAAAAACAGTAACAAACGTGTAGGAACTCGTATTTCAAATCATGTATCATAAAATCAATTATGATTCAATAATATCTTTATTTCATATAGAACTTATGAAAGTATATTATTATAGAGGTAAATACTTTACAATTTGACTTTGTAATTCATGGTATGTACTATATCATAAAAAGGAGATATGATAAGATAAAAATGGATCTCATTTACTAGGCTGGTATAGATCAATGCAACGCATGTACTTAAATCGCTGACAAGCACTGGGGAATACTGGAAAAATCCATCCAATTGTCACATGAAACATTAATTATTAAAAGAATTTACTTGTATGTTGTAGACAGGGAACTGAGTAAAGCCTCAGATCTGATCGGACAGGCGACGTTCATTATTCATAAGATTCACTCTTTCGAAAGGTTCATAATTCAATAGTTTCATGATCACGATAGTTCCCGCGAAAAGCGTTCATTAATCCAATATGAACTCTTGGTCTTTCTGACCATTTGATGCCAACAATTATACAATTTTTACACAAGTGCGCCAGGAGTGTCAATTTGTTTGTCATTACAAATGTTCACTATATTGATTATTATGTCGCTGCATATGTACTTCAGATAATTAACAGATTTACATGTACATTCCATATGGGGCTGAATTCTCAATGGTAATTTAAACTTTCACCATGGTCTTATCAACCATATTACTACAGCTGGTCGAAAGGGTGAAACTCAAAAGTAGCAAAAAGGGTCTAGATACAGGCAATAATACAAAGACCAAAAACCTTCTGGGGAGCGTATATCACAATCGTGTTTCAAAAACATACCTTCTGCTTTTTACTATATTTGGTAAGTGGAGTTTTAGCAGGGGCGGATCCAGGGGGGGGGGGGGTATGGGCTAAGAAATATTCACATAAATGTTCAGATTATGCCATGGAATGTACCATAGGGCATCTTTAGGTTCAACATTTTCTGAGGCCCTTAGTTGGCCGGACCACACGGCATAAAGGTCGCAATTTCATCCCCCCCCCCCCCCTCTTTGGGAAAATCCTGGATCCGCCCCGGCATAGTGATGAGAGTTTAGAGGATAAACCAATGTACATTATCTTATGCAGCAGTCAGTATATCATTTTGGCAGGCTCAAAATCTGATTTCGCTCATTCATGCCATATTGACTCAATATAGGCCTACAACTTCAGATGTTCAAACAAGATATGTAAACAAATGTCGACTACAAATAAAGGGCTTAATCTGAGAATGAAGGACCATCATATTCAGTAACAAAAGGCAAATCACCTTGACAAATAATCAACCACTCCTGATATACTAATCTGGATACAGAATTGTAAAACAGGGATGGATTTTAGCATTTATAAAATGCAAAATAATGCTTTTCTCTCACAAAGATTAAGCATTCCCAAACAGCAATACATTCTCCACATAATAAAAATCACTGTATCAATATATCATAACAATATCATGAATATTCATATTGACACAATCCTGGTAGATTCATTAACATGATTTTCTCAGATTGGATTCAACGTGAAAAATAATATGAAAACTTGTAGTTACCATGAATAGACCTTTCTCTCATTTAACACGTGCCATCCATATGGAGTTTAGATACATCTTTCAGAGTCTTACAGTGTATTTGCATAATAGATGTTTGACATACTCCTGTAGTTGCACATTGTTATGCTGAACTATACATATGAAATAATCAATTGGTATTAAAAATGATGCTCATTCAGGAGTTACAAAAACATGTTATGTATTTTCATCATCCAGAAAATAGTAAATGTTCTAGAAGAATGAATGAATAAGGTTTCTTTCACAAATCGACCACAATGATATCAATTCAACAAATTGTGAGATGAAGTCAATGTCAAGGTCTATGTCATTTCAGAATATAGAGATCGCAATACACCAATAGGCCTACACGTTATACAGGGACCAGTTAGTTTGGAATATCAACATCTTCCTTTGCACTTCATAAACTGACTTGCCTATGATCTTCATTCAATTCCATTTCTCATTTTTTAATGACATAAAGAGCTTGATATCAAGGAATAAATCAACATGAAGATTCAGACAAATTATTTTAAGTAATTCCACTTTGAGGAAAAAGTGGCTAAATATTCACTATGCAATGTTTTAATGCACAATCAACTTCTATTCCAGAAACTGTCCAGCATGACATTTTCACGTCATTTCACGAATTGTTAAGGGCAGCCATTTTCAAAGCAATAAACCTGCATGAATTAGTCAAATTTTGTGTTGTGTCAATTGTGATTCAATTATTTTGTGACATGAAACTTTGGCAAATCAGAACCACTCCTGAAATTCACAAATATTTCATGCATGCAAACGTTTCTCAATTCTGGTTGTACAGTATTCTGGAAATTTTGGACCAGCATAATGCAAAACAAACTTAAATGCTACAAAAGCACCGACACACATATGCATAAATGGGACTACATATTGATCTTCACTCTTCTTGCGGATTACTCAGCAGCTATACAATTCTTATTAAATCTGTTTGGCAGATACTATATATTTGTATCCATACAATGATTTGTGTAAAGTTTGGTAGATTCTGATAGAACTTCATTTGTCATTCAGTACAATCACAATCACCCTTACAACCAATGCAATTTCAATGTGGGGTATACTGCCTCCATGTTGTAACACCCTCATCTAACCATTGGCAGGTGATTCCATATGTGCCTATACAAACATACGATGTCTAACATTTATCCATATATTTCATCCATGAACGAAAAAATGTCTTGATATAACTATAGCTAATGGTTGTGAAACCAGAAAGCACCGTTATTTAATTTTCATACCGAGAGATTTTTATTTGGGAATACAATATGGGAAAAATAGACATATGCAGTGGGATACACATTCCATTAAATCTCTGTAATACTCTATCATTGTCAGCTCCATCTCCATAGAGGGCACTATGTCACACTGTGTAGCTTCTCTAGTTTGTCTAACCTAGCATCCTCCTTCTGGTGCCAGTCTCGTTTCTGCTTGTGCTGTTTGACACTCTCCATCACCTTAGTGTCAATCATCTCACTCGTAAGGACGCCATCCTCAGAAGCAAATGCGGTTGCCTGGACAAAAAGGAAAATAAAAGATGACACAAAATGGTGAGAGATGTAGCCAAGGCCTCCATTTCTTTCTTGCCAATTCAGAGGCATTATGTTGTAAGCACTTAATTTCAAATATTGGGGTAGGCAAGAACAACTTTTGATATTCAATGCTAAGTAGACTTACAAACCACATCTACATATGTACAAGTCCACAAGAGAAAACTTGTCTTAATGCATGCCAGAAAATACATCACTTTGCAATTATAAGTAATATAGAAAAATTATATTTGTTACAAGCAACAAGATTACCAATGAATTTTGTAAGCGCCAAAGGATTTACCTCTCACAAATTGGAAGGCTAATTCCTGCGCCACCTAATTTTCATACCCTTTACAAACGTGAGAAGTGCTCACCGAAGCATGGATTTTTTTCGGACTTTTTGGTGTCATATGTAAGTTGAGTGTATGAGCTTTCCATACATATAAAACTTTTTCCTCAGAATCATATATTTTTTATTCGGCAGCCATTTCAAGAGTGTATATTTTTGGGGGGGACACACTGTACAGCAAACAATGCCTATGCAGTACCCGTTGGTCCCCATGGTCCTCTTTTTCTTAAGTTAATTGAGAGCTGAGTTGATGAGATAACCACCTGCCTGTGACCACATAGGGAGGTCTAATCAATCCAAAGTAATGCAGATAGCCTTTAATGTGTTGTTTATTAGACTTAGTATTAATGTGTAGTTTATTAGAATGCTGAGAACATATTATGAATCATTACCAGAATTTGAGCCTATTTATTTCCATAATCCACTTACCTGCCATGCCACTCCAAGTTTAGCAATCTCTCTTCCAGACAGGCCCTCAGTCATTTCAGCTATCTTACTGCATTTCTCATTGAAGTCAAACGTGCCAATCTTCAGACGTCTACAAATGGGTGCGAAAAATGGGTTCAGAATTATCATAACATCTGTCAAAATTTACATTTCTGGCGGAATTGGGAGACATATAGTGAATTGTGGGCATACATAACAATGAAGTGAATTTGAGACAAATTAAAAGCAAATAAATATATTTTAATAGTTTAAGCAATGATGTGTACAAATTTGGTACATGGGACTACACATATATCACAAATGTGGGCTCACAAAATTACACCCTTCTGTGTATGTGGCAGCACCGTATGTCAATGAATAGCTATTGTAAATGAACAATCAAGAGTCACATTCTGAGTTTTTAATTTTTCACAATACATTAAGTTTCTGTTTACGTGAAGAAAATGTAGTTTAGAGGTATTCTAAGCCAAAAAAAAGCCAAAATATCATTTAAATCCCACAGTGTAGAGAAGGTTTATGAAAGGTTCAAGTATTCTACAAGTGTTATCATATTCTTAATTTTACAGTACATGAATATCTTGTTCTCATGGCACTACCTTTAAACAGTTCTCTTTGTGAAGCCAATGTCAACTCTAACTTTCAAAACGGAAACATAGTCTTAATACATGAATGCCTTCCAGAAGAGTCATGTGAGGGATAGGAATACATAAAAGCATCTACAACAACTATACATGGGACTACACATGAAATAAGAAACCCTACGTCACAACACATACATGGGACTACACATGAATTAAGAAACCCTACATCACAACACATACATGGGACTACACACTTACCTCCTGCCCTGTGAAGCAGGCTGAATGACATACTTATCGAAGTATAACCTGACCATGCGCTCCCTCTCCTCGCGGCCTGGCAGATCAAACCCTACCATCTCATCCAGACGATCGTTGATAGCCCAATCAAACTGCTCTGGCTGGTTACTCGCCAACACTAACATGAATCTAAGGGGAAGGAAGATATTGGTATTGATTACATGACCGGTACAGTGTGGTGATGACACAATCAAACTTACCCCGGTATTAAACTTACTAACATGAATTTAGAGGAAGAAAGTCACCAATACCTCCCCCCCCCCCCCCCCCCCCCCCCCCCCCGGGCCCTCCCCCTACTCAGTAAAGCATAACAATTACAAAGAACAAACAGTGAAACAGAACAGGTCAGCATACAATTTACTTTTGTCTGACTCGGGCTATGACACAAAACTAATCCAATGTGTTTTGAAAATGGAGATTTTGCAAAGAAACACAATCATCAAGTAATATATTCATTACAAATATTAATTTCATAGAAAATAAGACTACTTCATCTTTTAGTTTTTTAAATAAAAACCTTGAGCAAATCTAGAATTAATCTCAATTGCTCTTTTGGGTCAGTCATGGATTTTGTGGAAATTTGATTTGTTTTTTTGTGGCATCTAATTGGTGAAGACCAAATCAATATTTTTCTTTGTTGGTATTGTTTTACAACATACATGAAGGATGGGGTTATTTGTACTGCTAGAAAAAAGTGCTTTGCCTTTCGTCATTGTTTATCTTTCATTCTTATAAGATTTATTAACACAAAACAATATAATCTGTGAAGTTTTTAAAGTTTGAATACAATTAAATAATACTGCCACAAAATAATATATATATATTGAAGAACAGCTACAGAGTAAATCTCCTAAAAATAAACACCAACCGTCAAATTTGTCTGAAAGGCAGGCACTCTAGAGCAAAAAAGAAGGGTGGGGCAGTTGTCTAGTACCCTAAAGGGTATCCTTTTGACTTTCATCAACATCCTCCATTTAACTTTTGGGCTACAAAGAGGCATTTTAACAAGCTACTTACTTGTTCGACTGATCACCAGTACGATACAGAAAGGCATTAAGTGTGCTACGGAGATCCTCACTTATTATTTCCTGCAGCAAACAAAATTACAAAAAGCACAACAAACTTTAAATACATTGACACACATAATTGCTAGATGATTAAAATTTAATTTGATTTGAATGAAACAAAAGTTCATGATTCATTCATGATTACTTCATCTGGTTAACCAATGTTTACTGTCTGTACATATGTAAACGTATTCAAATATGCAATTATATTTTCTTGACAAATCAATATCTATTGCAAGGATACCAAAGGATTTGTATACAGACTCTATTGTACATTTTCCTCTGTATTTTTAATTGGTGTTGTAAGTTTGAATTCATTTTTGTTATGGATTATTGTTATTATCAAACAGGGCCTTATGGAATACCCCACTATTGGTAAAAATGCTCTACCTGTTTAAATATCAGAAAGAAATAAAGATTTTACTTACCGCATTTCTCCTCCTCAGGAATGCATCAGCTTCATCACAGAACAGTAGTAATCTGGAAGTAGAGAAAAGAAAAACAATAACGTTAAATATTAGCTGTGGCATTCATATACCCAAGGGGAAATCAAGATTTAATCAGAATCTTTGGTAGGGACCGTTAAAATAGATTATCCGGGGTAAAACTTTGCTTTTATTCCAAAAATATTAGTCCTATATATTGACACTACTTGAGTTTTAGCAATTTTGGCCACTTTCTCAGCCCAAAACTGATAATTATTATCACCTATGGTCATGGGTTATTCTTCCGATCGTTATTTTCAGCAAAGGAGATTGAATGGAACTTTTCTGCATAAAATTGTTACCTGATCCTAGAAAAAGTGGTCAAGGTAACCCCTATCAACAACAACATGGTCATTTCAGTCCTGATTTGGCTTAAAAATGTCTGTTTGTGTTTAATTTTTGGGGTGGAAATCAGGCCAATTTATAAGTCAGAATCAATTGATGTGCAGGTTTTGACATCAGAATCCAATATACATTCTTACCCTCTTCTGCTTGTAGAAGCCCAGTCAAATAATTTATGTATTGAACTGACTCCCTCCTTCCCCATGGGGGCTACATCACCTCCTGTCATAATGGCAAAGTCCATCCCTGAATGCATGGCAAGTTTCTGTAGTGATACAAATACAAATGAAATACAGATTATAATAATCATAATGATGATGATAATAATAATAAAATGCAGTTCTTGTATAGCACATATCACATACAATGTAATGTCTATATGTCTTTCTCAGGGATGCCAGTTAGAATTGATCAGAGGGTCTGAAAATCACCTAGAATGAGCTATTTTGTACACAAAAAAGCCTAAACTATGGTCTGAAAATAACTTGCCAGGGCCTGAATTCAGGCTATTGCCTGAAAACTGCCATCCATGATTTTTCAAGGACTTTGGACGTTATTACCCTGGCTTTAGCTCTGGCAACCATATATCTAAGGACTAAATCCTGCCACGTACCAAGTTTATGGCACCTACATGTAGGTAGATGGTGGAAAATGCAAATTTACATGTATGTCTACCAAGAATATAGTATAACATAACATCTATATACAGCAAGCATGACAGGTAATCTTATATAAATAAATAAAACATCAATGCCCATCTACAGTATGTCCCACGCCTTTTAGAGTACATATACATGTACCTTAAACCAGAAACTTTTGCAACCAGAAAGTTTTGTGAAATTGTAAGGACTGCTATTTTCATAGCAAGAAAATCAAGAAAGCAAGAAATTGAATGTTATTCTATCATTTTTAATGTGAAACTTGCATGAATCTGGATCACCAACAAAAACAATGAAATTTCCCTGTTTTACAACATAATGGTATCTAAATAATTATGGTTTTGCTGATTGAATAAATAATACAACATCTCTTATCCCTAGCAACCTCACAGTGTATGATACTTCAAATTCATGATCGGCAATTATGAATTAAGAAATAAAAGTTCCTTTCAAAATCTCTTTCACTGCAAAGAGTCAGTAATATGTAATAGAACAAAATGTGGTTGAAGAAAAAAACTTCTGAAAATCAAAAAAACAACAGCACCAACAAAATTAGTGGATTCTTGTATAGCCAATCATGTCTATCAGACTTGACACTCCTGGCATTCAACATCTCACGTTGTTCTTACCTTGGCAAAGAGAGTCTTGCCGGTACCCGGTGGTCCGTGCATGAGTATATTCCTGTACATGCCTTTGTTTGCTTTGGTATTCCTAGTTGTTATGGCGATCTCCCGAAGACGCTCCTCGAGCTTTGGCTACAAAACAGGTCAAAGGTTAAAGAAGGCGTAAGAAGAATGATTTAAAAGAATTACAAGACAAAATGCATCCAATTTTTGTAAGCATTTCAGGCAAAGCTTCCCTACTGTCTCGTGAATTGTCAGTACATTATAGGTTAGTTCTGATCAGGATTTATAGAAGATTTGTTGTATTGAACAAAATGTTGTGGCTTTCTTTGTCAAAATAAAAGTTGAGCAGGGATACAATTTACTTTATTTTACACATACTACACTCAAATAATTCTCCCCCAAAAAGGCTGGCCTCCACACATTCTGCTAATAAAGGGTGTTATTTCAAAGGCATCATTGATAACAAGTCATCTTGCAATATCATATGAAACTAAATGGAGAAGTTTCATTTCCATTTCACATGCATAAGGGGCAGTTACACTGTCATCCAAACACGCCAAAAAATGCCAAACCGGAGCCTGGCCGCGATGTTACCAAGGGCAACTACGCTTTACCGGCAGACATGCCAAGCCCCAAACATTCCAAAACGAAGTGTGATCTTTTGGCGTGTTTTGGCGTGTTTTGGCGTGTTTGGCAAGTATAACCGCTCGCAGTTGTAACATCGCGATGTTAGGCACGTGACTTCCGGCACTTCCGGATTGTTACCCGCGCTCTTTTAAAACACGTTCTTCCCGTGTGATATTTATAGCATTTCCATCGTCGCGCGTGTTATCCGTTCATTCAGCTCCGTTTGTTCCAATTCCGTTAACTCATCCTTTATTCAATCTTCGTTATTCCCGTCTGGCCATATCTGTCTAGTAGTAGTATTTGAGTGTTTTGTTAGATTAATTAATATCACCATGGAAGTGAACAATTCCCATTGGACTGATGATGAGATGAAGTTCTTGATTTCGATGTGGAGGCAGGGAGAGCTCCTCCACCAGACTTCCAAGCGTCCCTGCAAACGTGGGGAAAAGGGCTTCAGAGAAATGACGTCGGCGAATTCTCATAATTCCAATTAACAACGATGATTTTCTTAACCTTCCCATATCGTTTTTACTACTAGATTTCGATTGAATTTGGGAAAACTGAATCAGCAGCCGTAGTCCGTACTTCGTAACTTATCCACTCTTGCCTCAAATACTACACGCGAGATAAACAAAACATATCGCATGCATGCGCATGGGATGTATCGCTATTTAGCTAGCTATATAGATAGCGCTAGCTAAAAATCTTATAGCAGGCCGGGGTCAAAGGTCGGGAAGACTGCACATGCGCATTACCAACCGAAACACGCCAAAACATCGCTGAACAGCTCCGTCGGTGATGTTTCAGCACAAGTGTAACCGGGTGCACGAAACATCGCGACTTTTCAAAATGAGGTATTTGACAGTATAAATGCGCCTATAGTTGGTTTTATCATGAGTAGCCTTGAGGAGAGCAAGTGACAGGGTAATGGCATTATAATTGTAATTGGAACCTTGGGAGTCATTCTGAATTAAAGGATCTGGGGGGTGTTTCACAAAGATCCTAAGTAGAACTTAACACTAAGTTGGACTTAAAAAGTATGGACAGCCATTGGAGCCTTAAAATGAAATATATTCAAAAGCAAAAATTGGAGTATTTTAGACTTTTCATCAATTCCACATCAAGAATATGAAATCTCCCATGATAATAGAAAATATGAAAGATTTGAATCAACATTTTATGCCTTCTAAAAAAAAATTACAAAATGTTTTCAAGGATGCTAATGGCTTCCCATAAATTTTAAGTCCAACTTAGAGATAAGTTCAACTTAGGATCTTTGTGAAACACCCCCCTGTACCCCTTTAGCCCGAAATTATTCATACCCTTACAAAGTTTGAAATATTAGAAGTATGTGAAAAATGGATTTGTCCAAAATTTATTTTTCTTCCAAATGTGTCATCGAAAAGTATTCAACAAAGGCCCTAATTCAAACAGTCCACCTTTCATTCTTGAGTTATGAACACATGAAGCAAAAACACATTAAATTTACAAGGAGTATGAATAAATCAGTTGTTAATTGTAAATAGATAGATACATACACTGTCTGTTTGGAGCCAGAAGGGCTTTCACTTATATGCTTGAACACAGTCAACATTCCTCTGGCTCCAAAAAAATGAAAGCATACATATGTTTAAATATGTCGATGATCTAACCCTCGTTGAGTGTCGTAAAACGAACCAAATTTCAAACATGCAAGAAGCTGTAGAATGTTTATCTTTGTGGGCTGATACTAATAAAATGCAATTGAATCCTGCGAAGTGTATCAAAATGGACATTTGCTTTTCAAGAGTACCAGTCAATCAGTCTTCCATCATTCTCGAAAATTGTGTTCTTTCAACTGTTTCACAGGTGAAATTACTTGGTGTCACGATACAAAACGATTTGAAGTGGGAAGCCCATGTCAGAGATATTGAAAAAAGAGCGAATGCGAAACTATATATGCTCCGTTCTTTAGGGAAGTTCGGTTTTTCACATGAAGATCTGATTACTATTTTTATTGGCTATATTCGCCCAATCCTTGAATATGCCACTCAAGTTTGGAGCGGAGGCCTCACTAGTGCACAAAAACAACGCATAGAAAGAATACAAAAACGTGCATTGAGGATTATCTTTAGAAAGGATTACCATAGTTACGCAAACGCTCTTACTAAATCGAAATTACAAACATTGGAAAGTCGTCGAAATGACTTATGTGTTATCTTCTTTAAAAAAACTCTATCATGCACAAACCAGTTCAAACAATTTATACCCCAAAGAGCACACAATAGAACTTTGCGAAGAACTAACAAGATCCCTGAACCCAGGTGCAAAACTAAACGTATGCAGAATAGCCCAATCCCAGATTTGATACGCTTGTATAACAAAAGTTTTTTATGATTGTATTTTATATACTTTGAAACAAATAGTATATAATTAATTCATAAATTTGAGGTCTGATTTTTTACCAAGTTTGTCAATGTAATTTTTATGACATGAAGAATGAGATGCATATCTATATTTATATTTTAATATCTCTAATGTTCACCTAATAATATTCATATTTGTCTTGCAATGTATCTTTGTATTTTATCAGCATGTACATAATTGTTTTCCCTCTCTGTCCATCTGTCCCCTTTCTCCCCTCTCTCTCTCTCTCTCTCTTTCTCTCTCTCTCTCTCTTTATATCGCTTTCTTTCTCTCTCTCCTGCTTTCCTATCTCTCTTTCTTTTTTAACTCAAATTTTTAAATTGAAATATTGTATAAGATTAATGGTATATACACGCTCTTCATAATTATGTAGATTGTAGTGTGACATCTTGAAATGTATACTTGCTTTTTCCAGCAATTTACTCATGTGCAATTCAGGTACTTTTTACTGTGATATCTCTTGAAATGTATAATTGTCTTCACCATCAATGTTTTATTCATGCACAATTCAGTTACTTGTAACTGCGATACATGGAAATGAATCAAATAATACCATTTATCTATCTATCTATCTATCTAAACCGGTGCCTGTTTCACAAAACTTCTTATCGATAACAAATGCTAAATTCCTACATCAAATTTACTCTCAGCCAATCAAATGCCACGATTTCAGAAGCTTGTAACAGTTATTGTAACTTGTTATTGATAACAAGTTATGTGAAACAGGGTCCAGATGCTGCTTACCTCTAATACAACACCTGCTAGAGCATCCTTGGGATTGTTGAAGATCCTTTTGGTCACTTGGATGGGATGACGGACGGCTTCGATCGGCGTGAGTCTCGACGTTTCTCTGACCAACGACGGCTTGCCTAGACGGGCCTCGATGTAGCGGGCACCGACGCCCGTACCCATCTTGGCTGAATACACACCCAGGGCTAGTAACGTTACTCCTGCTGCCTGTCAAAGAAAAAATAAAGGACTCTTCTTTATCCATTACAGTGCCAACGATTTCAAATCAAATCAAATCATTTATTTTCCACTGTAAAAACAACACATATAAATCAATGACAAATTATTACTGTAATAGTGGTAAGATCATAAAAACCACAATGAGGCTTGTCTGAAATGACCCCTTAACAGATATACAAATAAAAATGAAAAATATTACATATAGGGGTGATAGTGAGCACTAAAAAAAAAATAGGTTTTTTTGTTTTCCCCTCAACCACGCCCCCCTTGACTAAAAAAAAGAAGAAGAGGATTCACGGGGAAAAAATGTCATCTAACAACATTCCCCCCTTTTGATTAAGAAAATTGAGGGCCAAATAGGGCGAAATAGGGAAGAATAGAGAAACTAAGAGGGAAATCGGGAAAATCAGGATAAAATAGGGAAGAAAAAAAAATCTGGTTAAAAAAAAATTTTAAAAAATGATTTTTGATTATTTATTTATTTTTTTTTTTTTTTTTAATATTTTTTTTTTAATCGGGAAGAAGAAAAAAATTGGGAAAAAAATCGGGTTTTTATCAGGCCTGTACATAATGTATACACAAAACAACATTAAGGAGAGAAAGGAAGACAAGAGCAGGAAATATAAACAACAATCTAGTACATTACATATTTGACAGAGATGTGTCATGAATCAAATTGTTGAGTACAATTTTATCTTCTTCCTTTTTGTCTTATCTTGAGATAAAACATTGTTCTATGTTATGTCATTTCACAATTAATTAACACATTTTGAATTTCAAGCAGAAAATCATGCATTTTCTTTTTGTACAAAGATATTAGATGCAGAATAATTATAATAATTCCTCAGAAACTTACTGTGGCTGTTACTCTATCCCAGTCAGATATAAAGCTTCTGAAACCTTCTCCAAGAATATTTCCTGCCGTTCTGAAATAGAAATCACGGAGAAACTGCTACATGTAACTTGGAATTATTAAATAAGAGCTAGACATCTGCTAATACACATAATTGCGCTGGTTTTCAGAACTGTTATAACACTTCACCATTTTGCCTCGCAATCAAAAAAAAAAAAAATTTAAAAATTAAAAAAATTTACTCACGATATTTGACTTTGTTTCCATAAATAGCAATGAAACAAAATGATACTATGTAAAACCCACTCATCCACCTCAAATAAAACTATGTGAAAATAAGAGAAATTTATGTATTTTACATGAACTTGTTACCCAAATCAATCCTTAATAAAGACCTTTTACCTTAAATGAGTTTATCCCTCTATGTTAATGCGAACTAGATAAAGTTTGAAATTCCTGGAATGGTTTGACAGTTACCTTTTTATCACAATACAGATGAACAAACATTTGCCCACTTTAGTTTTAAAATAAGATGATAATTAACTTGTCACTTTCATTTATCTTGCCTTTGCCTGTGCTATTAATTTTACTTGATAATTCCAGTAAACCTAGAGATTACATATTATAAACAAAATATCAGGAACTATATTCTTTCTTTTTCTTATGTCATAAAAGCAAATTTGTAAACAAATGGAAAAATAACTGTAGTTTGCTCAGCATTGTGAGCTTTTACAAATTGGCATCTGGCTAGTATGCTCCCCAAGAAGTGAAGAATGTGCATACATTGTGTGGAGTACAGGATGATGTAAGTAGAAATGAATATGTTATCTTGAAGTTTATGAGTTATATTGTCTTTACAGCTAGATAGCTTAATGAAATATGATGTTTATGACACTAATTTGAGATGATGAAATATGACATGAATGAATCGTTCAAGTGAAAGATTGTACACGTGTATGTAGGTTACGTAATTGTCGTGCACGGTAGTGCGTCTTAATGTACATGTACGTAGTAGTATAATGATATGACCTTGAAGAATGTCAAAGTCACCGTCGGTGAGTTATTATTTGTTGCATGTATTTACCGTAGTCAGATATATAGTGAGAAAGGCATTGTTTGTTTTCCTTTGTTATGATAACAGTTATTAGGATTTTCAGGGTATATTTAATTTGATACATGATATGTTATTTTCATGTCAGTTTATGCAAGATGATTTATTGTTGTTTATCTTTCTATTAAAATTGCAGATTGAACCTTGCCTGCTACAGTCTATAACCAAATTACAGTGCATGGTGTCATTACTATGGGTCTTGGGCAACTAGTTAGTTCGCCAAATCGTCCACCACAACAGTTCAATATCAACTTGTGTGACTGTCATATCCTCCATCATGAGCGTAACCGGCATGGATGGCAGCACAGATCCAGAGGTTACCTTCAAGGACCACAAGTCGGACAGTATTAGACCTGAGGACTCAGCTAGCCAAAGGGGGAGTAGCACCACCTCGGCGAGTTGGAGGATACGGGCGAAGGCTAAGAGAGCTGCCTTAGCCGCAGAAGTAGCAGCTCTTAAAGACCAACAAGAACTTGAGATAGAAGAAATGAAGCTTAAACAACGGAAAGCTGAGCTTCTTCTGAAGACTAGATTAAAGATCGCGGAAGCGGAGGAAACCGTATATAGAGGTACTCGGTCCATAGAACAGAAGACTGAGCCTTCCAAGTCTGAACCTTCACAACAAGGTTCATCAACTCCTGCTAGAATGAAGCCAGCAAGTGAAAACCAGATACTGACCAGTCAAGATGAAAAGATAACTGGTAAGATGGACTCTGACATCTTACATCATCTACAGCAAGGACAGAGACAACATCAACAGCTGTTGGAAGCCATCACAATTTCAAGTACCAACATTATGTCTTTTGATGGTAACCCGTTGAATTTCTTTGAGTTCATACGATCATTTGATAGTGTCATCGGAAATTCATCATTGGACAATAACGCCAAGCTGCTCAAGTTGTATCATCTTTGTACGGGAGCTGCCAAAGACATAATCCAATGTTGTCTCATGATGCATCAAGATGATGGGTACTTTCATGCCAGAACGCTTCTGATGGATCGCTTTGGAAGTGACCATAAGATCAGTGACGCCTGGATTAGGAAGGTCACGGAAGGTCCAGTTATTCAGAGCAATCCTAAACATCTGAGGGATTTCGCTGATCAGCTAAAGACCTGTGCTGAAACTTTGATGGCCCTTGGGATGCTTCACGAGATGAGCAGCAGAAGTGAGCTGGTGAAGGTCATTGAACGTTTGCCATTCCATCTGAAGAGCCGATGGTTGCGTTTCGTAAAGACCATCAGGGATAGTGGCAGACAGCCTAACATCCAGCATGCAGTTGAATTCATCACCGGTGCAGCTGATGAACTCAATGATCCTGTATTTGGAGCCTTACTTATGGGTGGACCAAAGAATCTAGGAAATGCAAGGAGTGTAAAGGAAAGATCTGTGTCAGGTAGAGGTCAGGCAAGCATGTTTACTACCTCTGTGAATTCATCGACCAAGAACTGCATCATGTGTCAGGACAGCCATGACCTTTTCGGCTGCCAGGAATTTAAAGCCATGGAGCCTGATGAACGCTTTGATTTTGCCTTCAAGAACAGGCTATGTTTCAATTGCTTGTTACCTGGTCATGTATCCTCAAAGTGCATCCTTAATAGGACCTGCTCAGTCAAGGGGTGCAATCAAAGGCATACCAAGTTCCTCCATACCGGGAGAAGGATGAGACCATCTTCAGGAAATCCTACACCTTGGAGAACAAGAAGGGAATCGAATGACTCATCAACTCAGACTGACTATGATGTAGCATCTCATGCTAGTTCCAATGCCACGAGGGCCGGAGGTTGCAGAGTAGCCCTTCCAATAATTCCGGTTACTGTCAGTGCTGCAGATGGTGGACAAAGCATTGAGACCTTAGCTTTGCTGGACCCTGGTTCTACGAACTCATTCTGTCTGCAAGAATTAATAGATGTGCTCCAGACAAAGGGGAAAAAGAAAGTCATTCAGGTCTCAACACTGGAAAGCCCTAAAAGAGCAATGGAATGCGAAGCCGTCAAGTTGAGGGTTAAAGGTTCCACAGCAGACAAGATGATAGAGGCTGAATTTCTAACTCGTCCCAGCCTGAACATCAGTACTGCAAACATGGCCAGGGAGGAAGATATTTCGAAATATCAACATCTTTGTGGTATTGATCTTCCAGTCACGGGGAAGAATCAAGTAACCATACTGATTGGACAAGATGTGCCTGAAGCCCTGATGCCACTTGAAATCAAAGCAGGTAAACCTGGTGAAGTTTATGCTGTCAAGACAATACTTGGATGGACGTTAAATGGTCCACTTGGAAATGGAAGTAGTTTACAGAGTTTTCAAGCCTCGTCTAGCTTCATCTCTGATGATGGTAACATGCTCCTGGAAGAACAAGTTCACAAATTTTGGAAGCTAGAAGGGACAGAATACCTTCATGATGATGAAAAGAGCATGTCCATCAATGATCAGAAAGCCTTGAAGACCTGGCAGGAAGGAGTTTGCAGAGATGGTGATCACTATCAACTTCCCATTCCATTTCGGAAGAGGCCTGAAGATCTGCAGTGGTTGAAACTCAAAGGAAAAACCCAGACAGAGCAAGAGCTGAGGGACTTCAAAAGGATCAGTTACGACGACATGCAGAAAGCAGAGAAGAGAATTTTGCATTACGTGCAAAAACGTTTCTTCCAGAAGGAGATTGAATCATTGACCGATTCAGATGGTAAAGTGACAAAGACAAGTCAACTCTACAAGCTGGACCCTAAGATAGACGAGGGTCTTCTTAGAGTTGGAGGAAGATTGGAGAGATCAGCTCTACCATTAGAAGCTAAACACCCAGTCGTCTTACCCAAGGGAAGTCACGTGTCAGATCTGATCTTGAGAGATGTTCATGTAAAGGCAGGGCATAGTGGAAGAAATTATGTCCTTTCTGTGCTTCGTGAGAAGTATTGGATGCTTGGAGCAGGAGCAGCTATCAGGAGCATGATTAGCAGATGTGTCATGTGCAGGCGGCAAAGAGGGAAGATGATGAGTCAGAAGATGGCTGACCTGCCTGAGAATAGACTGTTACCTGACGAGCCTCCATTTTCCAAGGTTGGCATTGACTATTTCGGCCCCTTTGAGGTTAAAAGGGGTCGCAGCATGGAGAAGAGATATGGAGTCATGTTTACATGTCTTACCACACGCGCCATTCATTTGGAAGTCGCTCATTCTTTGGATACGGACTCTTGTATCAGTGCCATTCGTCGTTTCATCGCTCGCACGGGCAATATCAAGGAGATGCTCTCAGATAATGGCACTAATCTTGTGGGCGCTGAGAGAGAGCTGAAAAGAGAAACAGATGGATGGAACAAAGCTCAAATCAGCGCAGACCTGCTCCAGAAAGGCATCAAATGGACTTTCAACCCACCCACTGCTTCCCATTTTGGAGGAGTCTGGGAAAGGCAGATTGGGACTGTGAGAAAGCTCATACTGGCAGTAACTAAGCAACAGGTGCTCTCAGGTGAAAGTCTGACAACTCTCTTCTGCGAAATTGAGAGCATCGTCAACAACAGGCCTCTAACAAGTGTATCAGATGATGTCAATGATCTTGAGGCCTTGACTCCCAATCACCTACTTCTGCTGAACAGGAAGCCGCAACTGCCACCAACAGTGACGGACAGATCAGATGTATACTCGAGAAGGAGGTGGCGTCAAATACAGTATCTCGCCGACGTATTCTGGAGGCGCTGGTCTAGAGAGTACTTACCGCAGTTGCAAAGAAGAGAAAGATGGGTACCATCGCATCGCAATCTTCAGATTGGTGACTTGGTGCTGGTTGCCGATGCAAACACTCCGCGGAATTCGTGGCTGCTGGGAAGAGTACTTCAAACTTTCCCAGACAAGAAAGGCTTCACCCGTAGTGCGAACATCAAGACAAAGAATAGCGTAATTGTTCGTCCTATCTCGAAATTGTGCCTGATTTTGGAAGGAGATTGTTAATTGCCCTCATTTGGAATTCATGGATCACGTGATGTTTAATCATATAAGAAAGAGAAATTTTGAGATATATAAATTTCATGATCAAGGAGAATTTGTGTCTCAGAGGATGTCGTCGCAGAGATATGATCATATGAAGATCGTTTGTCAGTGATTTTTGATTGGAAATCAGAAGGATCCAATTAGAGCAGAAATGTTATTATCATGAAATGTGATGTCATGATATCGCCAACATTTATTTTACATGAAAGTGTCAAAATGTGACAATTCCTATTCACCGCGAGGATAGAAATTTGTTGAGTTATGAATCGTCTAGTGATCTGGAACTCTCCGACGATTCAGATTTAGTCACCATAGCAACCTAATAGTGACTGATAACTGAGAATTGAGAAACTGAACGGCTTACAAGAAGAGGACATAAACTGATACATTTATAGAACAATGACTGTCTGCAATTCAAAGACTCATGAACTAATGAACATTAGTGTATTACACTTGAAGTTATGGAGTAATTTGCAAATTTTCACTCGATTTGTTATTTTTCCAGTGTAAAATGTAAACATGGCATTTAGCAGCATTTAAGTTGCAGTAAATGTACAGTTGTAGCTTCAGTGATTATCAGATTACTGTATATACAATTATGTAAATGTATTGCTTCATTTAACATTCTGGTTTAAGATGGAATTTATTCCAGAATTGGTTTGCATATCATTTTCTTGGTAGTATAGTGGTAAAGTTGTAAAAGATTATTTCATATATTCAGACACAGAAAATGTGAGTTGTGTGTAGAAAGGTTCTACTAGTTGTCTGTTGATTAATGCAATATATGCAAATTTTTATTTGAAAGTATGCCTGCTTATCAGGAATTAAGCATATTTGGAAATTTATCCTTCCTCATGTCAAGGCACATGTAGTATACATGTAGTTTGCCTTTTAGTACAGTGTTCCAAATACAAAGGGTATTAAATTAGGAAAGGTCAAGAGTTCAGCTCATGTGAAGCTCGAGTAGAAAGTTACTTACAAACATAAATGTGTGTTTACGGTACAGTCTAGTTGTTGGTTGTATGTTTAACTTGACACATCACTCTCAGATCTCCCATCGTCTGAGTCAGTAGGAGGATTTAGTTTTGGATTAAAACATTTTTAGTGTCATTCCTGGTGTCGGGAATTATAGTGAGGAAGCAGCGTGGTTGCTTACAGTTATCTTTGGAGTCGTCGATGTTTACCAAAATGATTCTAAATTCTGACAAGGAATGTTGGGAGTTCTGATAGGGTTGTCATGGTGATGTTGAGAAGGATATTTGCTTTACATGTATGTAGTGCATTTGATATACACTTGGGGCATTTTATGCAAATGTCAAAGCTTTTGAAATTACTTAGTTGTTTGCTGAAAAGAAACTCTTCAGATATTTTATGTTGATATTAATGGTCAAGATCATTGAATAGGTTAAGGGTGATTAGTTATTTAAAGGTGTGAAGAAAAAAAAGGTCACTTGAACAGTATAAGAAGTTGAAGAATTTAAAGGAACAATGATTTATTGCAAGTAGCAATTGTGGATAGACTTAATTTTGAAATGTTTCAAATGAACAAAGTATTGTTAAATGTTCAGAAAGGCTTCTCATTTAAGAGGGCCGGAATGTGGAGTACAGGATGACGTTTTGCTTTAAGCCGATTCTTGTGATGTCACAGGCGTCGCTTTGTAGAAAGTGTATGGATTAGGTCGCTTGAGGGCGTACTGGATTTTGTGTGTTACTGATTTTCCACGTCATGGGATAGTTGCCTCCCAGAGTTGCCTAAGTTTTCGTTTAATTTTGTGATACAAGCCCAATGATGTAAGTAGAAATGAATATGTTATCTTGAAGTTTATGAGTTATATTGTCTTTACAGCTAGATAGCTTAATGAAATATGATGTTTATGACACTAATTTGAGATGATGAAATATGACATGAATGAATCGTTCAAGTGAAAGATTGTACACGTGTATGTAGGTTACGTAATTGTCGTGCACGGTAGTGCGTCTTAATGTACATGTACGTAGTAGTATAATGATATGACCTTGAAGAATGTCAAAGTCACCGTCGGTGAGTTATTATTTGTTGCATGTATTTACCGTAGTCAGATATATAGTGAGAAAGGCATTGTTTGTTTTCCTTTGTTATGATAACAGTTATTAGGATTTTCAGGGTATATTTAATTTGATACATGATATGTTATTTTCATGTCAGTTTATGCAAGATGATTTATTGTTGTTTATCTTTCTATTAAAATTGCAGATTGAACCTTGCCTGCTACAGTCTATAACCAAATTACAGTGCATGGTGTCATTACTATGGGTCTTGGGCAACTAGTTAGTTCGCCAAATCGTCCACCACACATTGTATGTAGGAAAGCCTGAATCCGATGAGCAAGGTAATAATATATGTAAAGCCCTTAACACATTGACAATGAATTAAATGCTACATAAACCCAGAATACCTTTATTTATAGAATGCCTGCAAATTGTATGCCTTTTAGTTTTTCCAGTGATTTAAGAACATTCATCTTACTCAGGGGTGATAGTGAGCCCACCTTGAGTAAAAAAAAAAAGAAAGAAAAGAAGAGGATTTGGGGGGGGGGGGGGGAATGGCATCTCACAACATCCCCCCCCCCCCCTTTTGAGTAAGAAAAATTGGGAAATAATAGGGAAAATAGGGGAAGAATAGAGAAAATAAGGGGAAAATCAGGAAAATTAAGATAAAATCGGGAAGAAGAAAAAATAGGGTAAAAAAAAAATCAGGTTTTTATCAGGCCTGCTTACTTGATTGACTGCAGTACTGTTTCCCTGTACTCTGCTGCTTCAAGTCTGATCTGATCCTTCCTAATATCTTTATTTTCTCTCTCTATCTGAGCTTTCCCTCTCAATTCGGCTTCGATCTTCTTCATGTCGTTCTTCAACCTCAATTCTGCTTCATAATCCATCGATGCTATCAAGTGAAGAACAATGTAATAGTGATTATGTGTAATTGAGCAGATAAAGCGCAAAGACAAAAGTCCACATAGAGCTGATTATACATTGTCTCATATCCATGAAATTTTGCTTGAAAGAAATGAACATAAAATGATGTGGATAATTCATAATGTACACTTGCTCATTATTTTGGGTGGTATGAGACTGCTTTATACTAATTGGTTCAGGTGAGAGGTGATTCTTTGCTTCTAGTCAAAGAGACTTTATATAAACTAAAATTGAACCCATTCAACAAAACTTGGTATTCATATAAAATGCACCGCAATGGGTATCCGTTTCATCAACTGCACAGCCTCACTTTATATGATGCTGTAAACTGCCCAAAGAAACTGTGGTGACAAACTAAGATGCCATACACACTTTTACTTCCTTTTCTCTTTCTCTTACTTTTATCTTTTTTCAAACACATGGAAAGGGTGAGTGTAATTATGAGCCTTTTGTTGTGTGCAACTCTTTTCGTCCACCCCCAATTTTTTGTTCTTTTTCATATAACATAAATTTTACATTCATGATGTGTAAGTAATTTAAGGCGGTTTTCTCTTTGTCAAGTACGAAAAGGATTCATGTAATCTTACATCGTTTCATAGACTCCTGCTTCCTGACAGACTCCTCCTGCTTGGCAAGGTTATCTTCATTCATCCTTTTCTAAATTGGAAAATCAAATAAGTATCATCACATTATTCTTTTCTGTGGTTCTCTCTGTCTCTCTACTTCCTTTATCTTGTTTGTTGTTAATAATTTGATTGGTTATGCCCCTCACTGAAACTATGCCACTAGTTTATGGCATGAAACTTTCTCAAATCTGGACAACTCACAAACTCTAAAGAGGTTTCATGAGGGAAAAAGTTTCTGGTTTTTATAGGAAGACAACTGATCTAGCCATGAGAGGTTAAACCTTTCCAGACCTTCATGAGTGAACAATTCTTTATAATGTGGACTTTATATAACATGCTGCTTGAAAGATACTGTATGCTCTAAAGATGGACACGACAAACTATATCAACTTTTTAATATAAAAGGTTATACTGAGATTTCATGACATAACCTTAATTTTTTTTTTTTTTTTTTTTTTCTTTTTTAAGCACGAAACATTTAAGTCATAATAATACTTTGGTACAAACTGTACTGTAATAGCCAGGTGATAAATATTTCTAATTTCAAACAAGGAAATCTAGTTAACGGTCCTAACAAAGGTACATGCATATGAAGTCTCCTATAATTAATTTGAGTTGTGCTTTTTTTCAGCAAATGTGATTTCCGGCAGTCATTTGTTTGCATACAGGTTTTATATACTTCATGATAAACAACCTTTCAGCTAGTTTCAAAACTAGAACAAAAAAACTCAGAACAAAATGTTAATTAAAATTTAAAAAAACAGTGCTTATAAGCACTTACCACTGAAGCCTGTAAGCGTTAAAGAAGATTAAAAACAGTGTAAAGGAGCCTATAAATCACCTGTTGCGATAACTGATCATCATATCTTTTCCTTGCTAGCTGGTCCTGGTACTGAGCCCTCCTTTGATGTTCCTGGGTCTCCTGGGACATGGTCTTTCTCTTCTCCTCTTGCTGGACCCTAGACTGATCCAGCTTCATCTGCTCCACAGCTCCTTCATACTCCTGTCAAAACAAGCAAGTTTTCATTACAAAAAGTACCATTTTATACTGCTGTAAAAATCAGTTCATTTATTTCTCCTCAACAAACCTTGTAAGAGGTTTAATTAATCTTTAGTCTTAGTCTTTAATAAAAAGACATCAAAAAGGAACACAAGATAAGATAAGAAATGAAGTACCAAAAATAATAAACAAACTTACAAAAGAGCCTAATATTGAATGTAATATAAAAACAATTTATACCTTGATCTTTGTTTGCTGCTCCATCTGCTTAGTCTGTTCTTGCATCTTAGCTAGGTCTAATGCTCCTCTAGCATTGGCTGTTCAGAAGGGAAAAACGTTGCAATGAGGATTCAAGTTCAACCATAATAAAACTCCCAAGTGGGCATAAATGTGTATGGTAAACTTTGAACAAAACAGATTTGAATTCAATAGAACAAGTAATATGATGCAATAAAAAATAAATTGCTGTACATAGTATCTGATTGATCAAACACATACAAATCTGTGATTGTCTCTTCATCGATATGAAAGTTCTAGCAGTGACAAGCACCGGTCCAAAAAAAATTTACTTCCTCTTAACACTTTTCTCTAGTACAATCCCATTTTTTCATGACTGCCTTGAATGTGTTTCACTTCATCTGACATTATATACATCCCCTCTATTCAAGACATCTTTTGATCTTCCTTTATCTCCAACAAAGGGACACAAATATGACAGCATGGAGAGTTGCAATTTCAGAAGGTGATACTCAATCATATGAATGAGGTGTCATATGAAAGAGCAGAATAATCCCCATATTTCCAAAGGGTGTCATTTCGGATTTCTAAAAATATCTCAGATCCTCATTATATGGTAGAAGACTTCACACAGACGCGCGCCCGCCCGCAACCCACCATCGGTGTGCACTTGTATTGTGCAGCGGTTTGCCGTAAAAGTTAAAAACCTGTGAATCTAGATCTAGACTAGATCTACTAATATCAATGTTTTTCCGAAAAATACTCCAAAAATAACAAGAAAATTTACACGAAACAGGTAATAAACATAACGATTTTTAACTCATGATCTTTATTTAAACATATGATGAATATTTACTTCATTTTCGATTTTGGGTACCGGTATGTTTTAGTGTTTTATTAGGGTGTCTGAACGATTTTTCAATTTTCAATTTGGGATCGTTTTTCACCATTTTTGTTTGATATTTGAATTAAAAATGTAATCAGAATAATACATTTCAAATTTCAAGTCTCGCCGATGTTTCTATCAAAAGATACAGCCCCTTCAAAATGCTGAAATATTCATAGCATTTTGCTCAGAATCGACGAAAAAGACGTACACGCAGAGTTATGTTGTTTTGCTAAATTTAGCCAAACAGCTGTATCGCGCGATATGCAAGCGTATGCATATCGTACGCAAGTTGCTCAGCCAATGCGCGACTTGCAAGCTTGAGCCACGCTGTCTCCGCGATATGTGCCATTGACTAGTATGGGTGGCCGTTCCCGCTATAGAACCCGGAAGTGAATACACGTTGTAGTCAATGGCAATATCGCGGAGACAATCTCCGCGATATTGCCATTGACTACAACGTGTATTCACTTCCGGGTTCTATGGCGAGAATCGGCCACCCATACTTTCATTCACTATAAGCGCACATGTTACGATGTAACCATGGTTTGGACTGAGCGGAGCTCACGCCTCCCTAATTAGCTGATTCCAAAAATGTGGGAAGGGTATTTTCAAACTGTTATAACAAATGATCCCTTGGCCAGTTGGGGCTAGCGAAAAAAAAAGCATCTGGATATTATCCTTACGTCTAGCCCTGCTTAAGCCGCGGGGCGGCAGCTCAGGAAAGTGGCAAATTTTGGAGCTAGGATGCAAACAACATTTCAATCGCTGTTTTGACCAAGATATTTTTAGAATTCTGGGGGTGGCCCCCGATGGGGAATATGGAGAAAAACCTGCTCTTTCATATGACACCTCATTTATTGAGTTTCACCTTCAGGATCATTTGTTATAAAGGTTTGAATTTAAATTTTTTTCATAAAATCATTGACCAATTTTGGATGGTCGCGCAATGCACGTAGACCACATAGGGAAGCGTACAATCTCTATGGGAAGGGTTTTAGCACACAACATTGGGTGCGCGATCAGACACCCTAGTTTTATCTCCACATTGGAGTTACGGGTCAAAATGACTAAAATTTTGGTTAGGTTTCTGAACTAGCGCCCAATATTCTTATCCCTGATATATTAAAGAGTTCCTTTACTTATAATTAATCTTATAACAAAATTAGATCATCCTGTTATCAAGGACAGGAATCGCCCACAAAATGACAACGTTCTTCGAAATAAAAAGTTCAACACGCACCCGACAAATCGAGCTCCCGGGCAGCCTTGGCCGCCCGCTCCAGGCCCGACGGATCGAAGTTGCTGAAGTTGTCGTAGCCACCTCCTTTTCCTCCTCCTTTTCCACTATCCCCTTTTCCATCTTTCCCTCCTCCTGTTGGAGCTGCTGCCCCTCCATCTTGTAAAACTGGAAGTTGTGGGGCCTCTGCCAGAGGCTGATCCTTCTTTATCCCAAACAGCCACGACATTTTAAAAGATTCTAGTTGAAATTTCTTCGCTGATGTAATGCACGTGTATTGGGAAATAAGCCGGTATGGTCGAGGTCAAAGTTGAAAATAGGACCCTAGTCTCGGATCAATTTTTTTTTAATTAGTTTGTTATCGCCGGTGTAAAATACAACTGTTATATTATCTACTTTTGTATTTGTTTTTTATACAAATAAATCAATTTTGACAATTTATACATACTATGTAACAGATCAATCTGAATAACGCTGCCCTTTACTCCAATTTGGATCGTGATATAATATAGAGTCTGTTTTAAAGACTATTCATACATGCTACCAACCACGTTCGCCTCCTCCCCCTTTTCTTTCTTTCTTTCTCTCTCTCTCTCTCTCTCTCTCTCTCTTTTCTTTTCTCTTCTCTCTCTCTCTCTCTCTCTCTCTCTCTCTGATTATATTTTTTAACGTCTATCTCTCTCTGATTCTATCTCTCTAGGTATATGATTATCTCTTGCTGTAAGTGTTTTCTCTTTTTGTTTTGTTTGCTGGTTTGTTTTATGTGACTGCGTGTATGCTTGTATTGCAGCCAGGGGAGCGAAAGCTTTAAGACCTCTCCGAGGGGCTAAGCATTAAAGTACAAATCTGAATTATTTCATTTGACGTGTGTTATATATATCAGTGTCATAAAGATCAGCAAAATACCAAAATGAGCACAAATCTGAATTCTTTCATTTGACGTGTGTTATATATCAGTGTCATAAAGATCAGCAAAATACCGAAATGAGCATGACCCGACTAGGCCGAGCCCCCCCCCCCCCCCCCCTTGGCTACATGCCTGGGCCGATATATGTATATGATTTTAGGACAAATTAAGACATAGCAGAACATTACGTGTATGTTTCTAAATTTAAATACTTACGATATTTGCACCTAGTAGCAGGCCTATATTTACTGTTTTCTCGAAACATCTGTCAAAACTTGAGTGGGCCATTTTATAGTTTCTCGCAACAGGATCTACACACTTCACCCATGAACTCTCAAGCGTGAATTATTTTTTGAGAGGGATATAGTTGACCTCATATACACTCCCCAATATTTTAACAATAATATTTACGAATAAGTTTGCAGCTTACAATAGCTTTGCGGTTTAGAAGTTTTGTTTATCTAGCACTGTAAAAAGGGAAACACAGTCAATTGTAATTTCCGCTTTTGAAAATGACAGAATCAATCTGTTATCTAATACTAAATGTAAAACGTATGCAATTATTATTTACGCTATTAGCGGGTCATTTTATTTGGAGTCCGTTTGGAGAAAACAAATTCAGCACAAAATTGAGGGACCTTTCATATGTTGGAATTTTATATGTAGTAATTTAAAGGTGTGTCAGCTTTAGCCTGTTAATTTGATTTTTTCTTCAATACACCTTAACTATTGCAATTAGTTTGTCCATGTTTTGTTGAACATAACTATTACCCATTTAGGAAATAACTGATACAACGGGCCCCTATCCTACCTCTATCTTTTTCTTTCTCTTTTTCTCTCTTTTTATTTTCTCCCACCTTGTCCCACCGGTAATGATTTCTTTCCTTCGAAAATATCGCCTTTTTAGTCCCACCGCCAAAGGTTGTCTTTATCTAAACATTAATAGGCCATTTCTCATCCAAAATATACTTCAGTGCTTTTCTCTCGTTTTACAGTCGCGTTTTTTCTTCTTCTTCTTTCTGTCCCCTTCACAAAAAGCAAGTTGAGGTAGATAAACAAGCTCTGCCTTCTCGACTCTCCCGTCCTCTTTCCATAATTCTTACCCTGCCTCTCAGCACAACGACCCTCTTTAACTAATCAGATTCAATTGTTAATATTAAGACATTGCTAATTAGACTAACAATAAATTATCACAAATTACACGAATGCACTAGATGAAACATGTGTGATTGTGCATAATTATATGCATTTATTGAACACTAATGAATTGTTATTTATTGCAAAAAATCACTTGAAAAAATGTTGTATGTTACATTTTTCTTTCAAGTTCCGGGAAAAATATTTTGATATCAGAAAATATTGTGGATTCGATATAATCAAACCTTTGCTAATATGGCATTGTTATTATGAGGCATTTTTTTGTTCACGTTTGATTATACTTGCTCCACCTTGATATTAAATATTCATACACTTGTCGATTCAATTTGTAATTGGAATTCGACTCTTTAGGGTTGAAATGTTACCATTATCCTGATTATTTAATATGCAATGTAAAACGCATTGAAATTTCCTTTGGTCATGAAATGCGCTCTAATTTTTTTTTTTTTAAATCGAATTAAACTGTGTCTATACTCAGATAACTTAGTCATATAACAATATATAATGGTGCAATACATAACACAGTGATTACTTCGAAAGCAGACTGTTCATGGCAACAGTAGTATATACATTTTTTTAAATGATGATATGTACAGTTTCATCGTTTTGCCCCGATTTAAATCACCACACTGTTGTCTTTCTATATACGTCTACTTCTAATCTGCCAACCCTCGGTCTGCAGCTGTTCTTAGGCTTGCTGTGTCTTTCTCCCGGTTATTTCCCCCAAATTTGTCCATCTTCTAAAGACCAGTTCTGCATTCAGTTCCCCTATGCACTAGTTCTCCACCCCCCCCCCCCTGCCGTTCTACAAGCTCTACATTCAAGTTAAATGTGCTACAGTATCTGCTATATATGGTTTTGCCCTTCCCCCATTCCCCTTCCTATGAATAAACTAACAAGAGGATGAATCGGGGCCATCTTCCCCTCCTTCTACCAGCTGCATTTCGTAAAGCTGGTCGATGATTTCTTGCACGGTTGGCCTCTGGTCTTCGTCAGCCAGGTAGATTTGTGTACCCAATAACTCGAAATCATCATACCTCATGGCGCGACCTACGGATGCTACCAATCTGCCTAAGGAGTAGACATCGCTGGATGTTGAGCAGGGTCTGGCTTCCAACACACATTCAGGGGCAATATGGCTACACCCTCGGCCGCTACGGTAAAAATCAATCTGCTCTTCATCCAGAGACATTACAAAAGGAGTGGCGATTTCAGAAGCCCATCCCAGATCGATGATCTTGGCTCGCCAGAGTCCAGACTCCTCAACAACCAGTACGTTGTCTTCTTTGAGATCATTACACAGGAATCCCTTGGAATGGAGCGCTTTCAGTCCTTCTGCAACACCATTGAGGACATAAAACCACTCATCTCTGGTGAGGTCCGGTCCTGTCTTCATAAAGGACTTCTCCAGACAGTCAGTGATGGTGTAGCTACGATCCTCAGACTCACTCCCAACGAACTCCATGGCCAGGACTGCCTGGTCATCTGCGATGTCAAAGCTTCCATAGAAGGTAGGAAACCATGGAAGGCCACTGATTGCTTGATGAATCCTGACCTCGTTCCTGAAGCACTCTCCTGGGTATTCCACGAGCTTGGCAGCGACGGGGATCTTCGAGACTGCGTGACGGAAGAGGTAAACAGTACCTGCGACACCTCTCCCAAGTTCAATGCTGCACCTCGTCTCCGCCCAAGGAATGAGGTCGGACATACTGGAGACCATCATGTTGCTGTTACATGGTGGCTCCAAACAGCTGACCCTACTGGCGATCGCAGAATCACCTCGAAGCAGAGATGTCCTACTTGGTGGTCTGAAGGCATCCCCTGCCCTGAGTGTCTTCAGGCTTCTGCAGCGAGGACCAAGACGGATGAGATCGCGAGATGCAGATAAAGTGAAGCTATGGCTTCGGTAGGAGATGGTCATAGAAAGGTGTTCTTTGATCTGCTGTAGCTCTTGCTCGGTCTTACCGGAGATCAAGGGGTTTCTGTTCGAAAAGGAATTTTAGAAAATATTACAATAGTCACAACCTTTATTAAAATCAAGAATACTCTACTAAATCAAAAGATTGATCTAAAAAGGTAGAGTTACCACATGCAAACATGGACAGCCTGCTAAGTTTTGTTCATAAGCATTTCTATCTTTTTGGCATGATGGGGGTCATCAATTTTTTAGTTATAACCAAGAGACCAGCGAATTAAAAATCATGAGCCAATTTAATTTTGAAAAGATGAATCTACGACTTTGTACATTAAAATACATTTGATAATTCTCTTACCGATCTGTTGGGACTGACTTGTGACAAAGTTGGCCTTCCAATTGGGCCTGGTGATCATCGGTTTGAGTGGCCACTGAGGCAAGCACTGGACCAGGACGGGAGAGATGATCCTGTCAGAAATAAGTGTGGTTGGGAAACACAACATTACTGAATAGGTGTAAAGTCAAAAGGGTACAGAGACAGTGAGAAAGAAAAAAAAGAAAGAGAAAGACGGGGAGAGGGAGAGTAAAGGAAGAGAGAGAAAAAAAAGAGAACATACAGAGAGAGGGAGAGAGAGAGAGAGAGAGAGAGGGGGAGAGAAAGGGGGAGGGAGGGAGGGGCAGGGAGATAAAAAGTGAGATAGAGAGAAAGAGAGAGAGAGAGAAAGGGGGAGAGGAAGAGGGATAGAAGGGGGCCTGGAGAGAGCAAGTAAAGGAGGGAAGATTCTGACTTTACTTATTTAATAGATTGGATAACTACTTACTGTTATCTTGATTGTAGTATACAGGATGCAATTTATTGAACTTATTAGTAACTGACTGTAAATTATAGGTAATATTTTCTTTTCTTTCTGTCATTTGTTTGCCTATTTTTGTTATTCCTTTAGATTTTTGACATTTAAATTACCATGAGAGCTTCTTGAGCCTGCTTGGTCTTCTCCCTCTCCTCTTTCAAGGCTCTATGAAGTTCAATGACCTCTCTTCTGTTCTCCGTCCATCTGTCCATCATACCGCCAACAATGGTAGACTCACAACCAGACGTTTCCACACCCATGAAATCTGCCAAGCCCTATTAAAAAACACCAAAAATACCCAACATAAATGAGTAAAGAAATTATTGAACAAAAGAATAAATAAAGTTGTTCACCTGATATGGTGTAGAATTGCAAGGAGAGTTTATCTTTAAAAAATGTTTTATAATCATTATCATTTGCATATTTTTTTAATTGGTTTTCATAATTGGTTATTAACACATTTTTAA